TGACGAAGTTCGCGTCCAAGACTCCAAGACTGCATGCATCAGGAAGAAGTGACACGCGCAGTTGAAAATTCGAGTGTCAAATCTTGGCTGCCGAGAGCGGATGAAGAACGTGGCGTCACGACCGAGCAGAGTTGGGTTTTTGCCTGCCGCCGCTTGACTCGTCCAACAAATACTGACTCGTTACTTTATATCATCATGGTCTACTACGTCATGTCTGTGTCGTCCATTTCATCGTCCGTCGACTGTCTCGCCAGTCGGCCTCGGTAGCTATTGCCGTATTTTCCTTCGCTGTGGGTCATGCACATGCCGTTGCGCTGCGCCCACTTAAGGCACCCGCTTGGATGACCGCAGCGACGACCACCGCCTATCGATATAGATTCAGCGTGCGTGTTCCTAGAGCCACTGCAATGTACCATGGGACCGGCAGTAGCCGTCGCCTTGGCTCGACTTGGTACAGCCTTCGATGCGGCAACGGACGCCGCCACCGTGGGCTTTGCACATCCCGCGAGATTGGGCAGCCTTTGTACAGCCTTCGACTGTACAGCGTTTCCCGCCGCCGTGCGCGATACAAAGGCTACTGCTCTGACTCGCTCGCGTGCACCTAGCAAATGCGTGAGCCCCTTGTCGCATTAGCACGAGCAAACATACCCTTCGACAGAGCATCGGCGGCCACCACCGTGCGCCTTGCAAAGACCCTTGGAGCGAGAGAGGTTACTGCAGCCTTCGACCGAGCAGTTCTTCCGACGGTACTGCTTGGCGCCGCTGCCGTGCTCGTGCTTGACGGCGCCGCCACTGGATGAGTCCGAGTCGTAGCTCTTGCCGCCACCCGACGAGTACCCGCCGTTGGCCGTCGCGAGCTCGATAAAGTCGCCGTACGCGTGGTTGGTGGTTGGTTCGGACTTGATAAAGACATCATGGCGCGAATTCGCCCGCGGCAGCGACGAAGACGACGACGACATGGACGAAACCGATGACGCGGCGGAGTACTTGCGGGCGCTCTCCTTGGTGCGCATGCCGTGGCTCACCAAGTCTCTGCACAACGTGTTGATCTCGTCTGCGACCCGGTAGTCGTTGCCACTCATCTGTTGCGACGGTGGCTGCGGTTGCTGGTAGTTGATGCCACCGCTCGTCTTGCGCAAGTAGTCAAACGGGGACGGCAAGAGCGCTTCCTGCAGCTGCTGGAGATCCTCCATTTTTTCGACAGGCGTCGGGCGGTCTTTCGCAAAGTCGTACGGCGATGGGTACTTGATATCGGGCGTCGGTGTTGGGAACCGCGCCTCGGGCGTCGGCGTGCACAGAAGCTCGTCAACGCGGTCTGGCGCCGACACCACGTACGGATGCATGGGAGGAAGCAGCGGCGGCGGTGCGCCATCATAGTACCGCGGTTGTTGCTGCTGCTGTTGCTGCTGCTCGTAGGCGCGCTGGTCGTAGGTCGTGGTGCGCGAGTCGTAGCCGTAGTAGCTCGACGGCGGAGGCGGGTACGCGTTCCTGCTCGGCGGCGGCTCGGGCTGCTTCTTCTTCCCGAGCACGGAGAGGAACGAGAGCGACTTGGACACCTTGTCCTTGAAGCTCAGATCGCTGCTCATCGGGTCCGCAGCAGTCAGTAAGCCGCGGCTTCGTTTTTGTCGAAATAGAGCAATCGCAAATAGCCAATCAGACGCGGTCGAAACCAACGAATAGCCAGGCGCACGAACTTCGAAGTCGAAGTCAACGTGGCAACTACGTTCTTTTTGGGAGCCGGCGCGAAGGCGATTTTTATTCGGCAAGCGATATATTTAGTGCGGTGCCGAGGACCAGATCGAACTAGCTCCAAATTCCGAGTCGAACCACCCGACAGTCCGGTGTCGAGTCTCTACGGCTTTTGATGCCAGATTTCGTCGTTCTGGAAGTTCTGGAGCAAGGATATCAAGACTGGTGTCTCTCGCCGTAGAAGTGGCCTCGCTCAGATCGCAGAAGGGGCTCGCCATTGTGTTGACGTTCCTTGCATTGGACTAGAGTAGTAGTACCATCAGCAACCATCGCTATTGGGGCAGCGTGCTCGGTCACCACGAGGATGGTGATGCGTCGCTTCTCGTCTATGCTGCCACCACATCTGGCTGCACCACAATTTTGGACGTTGCCCAAAACGCAAGCAGTTCCAAAAACCACCGACCGCAATCACACCGAGTGCTGCGCCTTGGTCGACTCGTTGATGTTACATGTAAGATCGACGGACATTGTGTTCAGGCTCTGCCCTACCCCTAAGCGGCCAACAGATTGCGTGACGCTTCCCTCGGCCAGTTTCCATGTCGAGATACCAGTGTATGAATGTTTTTCTGTACACACAAGCTTTGACGAGCTACTCGTTAGCGTCGTCCGTGACGTGGTTGAGGAGCGGTCCCATCTCCCAAATCATGATCGCTCCTTCGCTACCGACGGTCACAATGTGCTGGCGCTCGGGGCTGATCTTGACGGCGTTGATCGCTTCCGAGTGCCCTTTTCCGACCGCAATCGGCTCGCCGTTGTCATAGTGCCACACTTTGAGAGTGCTATCGCGACCACCCGTCACAAAGATGTTGCCACTCCTACCACCAACTTGGCATCAGCAAGCCTCGTTCGAACGAGATTACCGTTCAATGTCGAGGGCGAGCATCTCGCCGTCGGCCGCCTCTTCGAGGATGCGGATGGCTTCGCCGTCGTACGAGTCGTAGTACGTGATGCGGCGGTCCGAGCCGCATGTAAGCAGCTGGGACTCGTCCGGGTGGTACAAGATGCGCCGGAAGACGGTCGAGGCAAACATGGCTTGCACGCGCGTGTAGTTTTCGAGGTTCCACGAGATGCACGAGCTATCGCGTCCATGAGAAGATGCACGATCCAGTCCTTCTACCCATCCGAGGACGCGCTGACGCAGGACGAGTTGTCGCGCACAATTTGGATGCTGTTGACGGGGCCGCGGTGCTCCTACTCGCGATATGGCGTACTTTCAAACGATCTCGAGCACCTTCATGGACGCCTCCATCGTTTGACGCGACGGTGTGATGCGCCAGACACGCACTCGGCCATCCTTGCCACCCGTGATGAGTCGCCACTCGCGCTCTTGCTCCGTGTCGTGACACACCGCGATGGCGGTCACACTTTCGTTGTGCGCGTCTTGAATAACAAACTTGAGTTTGCCCGACTCGGGGTAGAAGGCGCGGACCTTGCCGTCGTCCCAGCCGCTCACGATGACCGACCCGTCCGACGTCAGATCGATGCAGTTGCACACGAGGTTGGGTACTTGGATGCGCAGGATCTCCTGGGCGCGGCGCGCGTTCCAGATGCGGATGTCGGTCTTGGAGCACGTCACAAAGAGGTTTGAGTTCATCTCGTGGCTCTTGAGCGACGACTTGGGAAACACAATGTCGTTGATGCCGCCATAGTGGCACGTCGCGCGCAGGTCGACGCGGATACCGAGGCCGTCGGTGTTTGTGACAGCGACCGTGTACATGTTGCTTTGGTTTGTACCAGCGTACAGCACCCCATGAGGTCCTTCCGAGAGGCTCGTGATGCCGCCAAGTAGCTTCTCAATCACGGTCGTAACGATGGGAGTCGACTTGATTGGTTCGCTGATACCACCCGTGGGCAAAATGGCGAGGCTGCCGTCGCCGGCGCCGAGGAGCAAGTACCGATGTCCGTGGTCTTCGTATACGACGACGGTGTTGATACCTTGGCTAAACCTCTCCTTCGTCGTGCGGTTGTACCGGGGCTTTTGAGCGCCAACCGGAGGAAACGCGCAGTTGGGCTTGGTCAGGTCGCAGTCCAAGATCACCTCAAGGAGGTCACCAGTCTTCGTGCCGCAGTACGCGATCTTGTCGTCCGACGAGAGTGCGATCGTCGAGATGATGCGCTTGAGATTCCCGAGATTCGCGCGCAGTGGGTGGAATTTGCGGTACTTGTGGTCGATGCGCCAGACATTGATCGAGTAGTTGCCGCCGGTCACGAGGAGGTCGTTGTTGGCACCTTGGCGAAATGCGGTCACGACCAGCGTCGAGTCGTCGCCCGCAGGCGTCCCGCACACCGGCTCGCCTGTCTTCATGCTCCAGCACACGAGAGCGTTGTCGTCTTGGCCGCCCACAGTGTACAAACTTGTGTCCTGGGACGAGAAAGCCATGTCCTGTACCTTGCCCATGTGCAAAACGAGGCGGTAGATGACCTTGTCACTTTGGTTCGCCTTCTCGGCCATGGCCGCGATCGCACCGCGGAGGTCCCAGACCAGCACGGGCGCCTTGTTCCCGCGGCTCTTGCTCTGCTGGCCGGACGCGAGCTTGGCGCCGTCGTTCGAGATGGCTAGACACGTGATAATGTCGGTGTGCCCATGCAAAAAGCCCTGCGCGCTCGAGCGCAGATCCTTGATCACGACCGTGAGCCCGAGCGAGTAGATGAGGTACTGCCCGTCCTTGGTGTAGATGACCGTGTTGTTGTACGAGCCTACGCTGGGTCATGAGCTCCGTGCGACTGCTGCTGCTGCGTACCATTGTAGCCGATGACCTTGAAGAGCTTGAGCTCCGCGACCTCCGCCATCTCCGATCCGTCGCTCCGAAAACGACCTTTGGCCCGTTTTGAAGTCGGTTATTTCCCGCACGCGTGATTTCCTACCCGATCGGTTTCTTCCGCATAACTGTCGTTTAGTAATATTCGCGACCGGAAGATGTCGGCTATGTGTTGCACAATGGGGTTATGCACTGGACGATTTTCCTTTTGATTTGACAGCGATGGCGGCAGCACGACCGACGACGGCCTCAGCCCTGCGGGTAGGACGACCATGCTCCGCTTCTGGCTCAAGCGCTGGCGCTAGTACATCAATCAGGCCCAAGCGCAGCGAATCGATGAGGAGCTGATGTCGACATACGCCTTTTCGATCGACCAGCTCATGGAGCTTGCGGGCCTCAGCGTCGCTGCGGTTGTCGAGCACGAGTTCCAGCAGGCACGCGAGACGCCGGTGCTCGTCGTCGCCGGTCCTGGCAACAACGGGTACCAGTCCATAGCGTGGGAATGTCAGGCATATCCTCATGCCGGTAAGTAGCGGAGACGCCTTGGTAGCGGCTCGCCACCTCAAGGTACACTTGCGCCCATGGCCCTGGTGTGCTATTACTGTCCCCGTAGCACTTTGGTTTTGCGCCAGAGATCTTATACCCAAAAACGCCCAAGAACCCACTCTATAAGGTCCGATATTGGACCGCGCTGTCGGTATCCATGCCTCGCGCGCAATAGCGCCTGGTCCAACAGTGCCAAGACCTCGATATTCCATTTCTGCAAGATCTCTCCAAGTATGCACCGAAGGCCGCCTCGTATTTGACAAAAATCTTATTGCTAGGGAAACCATCGACGCGCGTTACGGGTGCGTCCTCGATGGCATCTTTGGCTTTAGCTTTCAGGTCTGTTTACTGCCTTGTTCGCTGCGTCTAACGCCAAGCGAAAGGGCGAGATACGCGCACCATTCGATGACGTGATCAAAACCCTCCGATCGACGACAAAACCCATCGTATCGATCGACATTCCGTCGGGCTGGGACGTCGAGAAAGGTACAAATTATTTGTGAACGCTCGACTGCTTACATAGCGCAGGAAACGTTTCGGGCTGCGGCTTGACACCTTCTGTGCTCATCTCCCTCACAGCCCCCAAGCTCTGCGCACAGCTTCTCTCGCCATCTACCACGACCCACTACGTTGGCGGTCGCTTTGTGCCACGGTATATGGTTACTTTGGTGCCAAGGACTAAGCCTTCTCTCCAGAGTTCTTGCCGAAAAGTATCTGCTTGCGATGCCGAAGTATGTTGGTGCTCAACAGTTCGCCCGCTGGGAGCCATAATTCGCCATTCTCGAACTGACGAGCACGCAGCTTTAAGCGATCTATCGGGTTAAGCAAATGTTGCAGATTGTTTAGCGGCGTGCAAACCAGATCCCAACAGCTTTTTCTTTTCTCCGCACTCTTAGTTCATTCATTCCCTGTAGATTGATTAAAGCATGCATTGATTGTGTAGAGACTTGACTAGGCGTTGAGCGGGTCTTTCTTGAGGTCGTAAGCGATTTGCGGCGCATAGTTCCAAAAGAGTGCGTTGGCATTCTTGTAAAACTGGTTGCCCAAGTAGTTGGTGCCGGTGATGCACCACACTGGATATATGTGACGCCAATCCTCCACGTAATTGGATAGTACGTACTTGGGTGCTCGAGCGCAAAGCCGAATTGGAGGTTCACCTCAACGTACCCCGTCATGATATGGAACGGGTTGTACAAGTACAGGGGGACACGGAAGAGACCGCGCTTGGCTGTAGTGCTGCGAACGAGCTTGTTCTCGACGTTGTGGATCGAGTTGGTCAAGTTGACGATCGACATGACTTGGATGCCGACGACAACGTCATCCTTCTTTTCCGGCAACGGGTAGTTGGCCGAGAAGTAGTCGTTGCGAATCTCTTCGCGCGTCGATCTGTCGACCACCGACCATGTGACGCTCTTTACGATCGACGACACAATGGTCGCATCTAAAGCGGACAAGTTGTCTCCAGCGGCATATTTCAAACGTACCTGTCATGGGCATGGCCTCAGTCCACTGGTTCGTGAACGTTTCTTTGAGCGGGAAGAGGAAGGGGTTGACGACAAAGACGTACTTGAGAAGCGGTACGACGAGGCACACGCACGGAAAGACCAGCGCAAGCTTCCAAACACCTTGGCGGTGCACTTCACCGAGCACGACAACGACAATGTCGTTCCAAGACCAATGGCCGAGGCGCCGGTGGTCCTTGAGCACCGTCATGTTGCGGCAAAAGTGGCGAATGTTGCACGTGATAAAGCCGTAGAGAATGCTACCCGGTAGCGCGATCACGACCAAGCTCATAGTGAGATAGAGGGCAGTAAGCAGCAACAGCGGCAGCGTCAAGAGGAAGAGCACGAGCGACGTGAGCTGGAAGCCGCAGTGGCGCGAAATTCGCATCGTCGGCGCTGGTAGACACGCGAGGTAGAGACGGAGGAGGGTGAACACTGGCAGCAAGTACACGAAAAAGACCAAGTACAGCGGAACACCCAGCGGCGCAATGAGAATGCAGAGCAGGATGCCAAAGGCATCGGCGAGCGAAAAGCTGGGCACAACGAGGTCGCCGTTCGAGCGTTCGTTGGTGGCGTTGGCTTCCAAGATGCCATTGCCGTACAACGGCGCATTGTTCCAAGGCCCGCCGGCATGAAGCGTCTTGGACGATGGTGATGGCACTTCTCCAGCGACCTGCAGTGCTGTTGTCGTCATCGAATATTTTGCAACTGACGTCGGTGCTGAAGAATCGAACCAACAACAGGCATTATTTTTAGATGCGACCGGCTTCTCCGACCTACCGGATCTGTCCAACGTCCAGCATTGACGAGGAGGGTGTTGGCTTGCGCCGTTGCGTCGATCCAAATTTTAGCCGCGGGCGTCCATCCCAGAGCTGGACGACCTCGTGGGCCCCAGAAGTGACGAGCAAACCACCCGTCGGGGACTGCGCCAAATTGAGCACGCGCACCGCGTCGCCAACGTACTTGGCCGTGGGGGACATGGACGCCGCACTGTACGCGACGACATCGCTGCCTTGCGACGCCAAGAGCTCGTCGTGGGCGTGGTGCTGCGGCAGCGACCAGAGAAGCCCCGTAACCTGTGCGCCAGCATCGGTCGACCGCAAGAGCGTGCACGCGTCAACCGAGACTCGCCACTGCTTGATCGTACGATCACTGCGTCCGCCGCCCGTCGCTAGCATAGCACTCGGTCCAAGCGGCCGCCAAGCGAGCGCCTTGACTGCTGCACAATGATCGCGGATCGTATGTAGCGGAAATTGGCGCCGGCTGTTGAAGTCCTTCTTCCAGACACACACGAGATGGTCGCTGGCGCCGGAAGCCAAATACGTGCCATCGCTCGACCACTGAAGCCCACACACCTCGCCAAAATGGCCCCCGAGCGTCGCCAACGGCCGGCAGCGGTCCATGCGCGTATCGTGGTGGATAATCTTCGAGTCCATCGACCCCGACGTGAGGATGGATTCGTCAGTGGCGAGCGACCCAACACGGAAGTTGTGGCTGCGATACCGGACTTTGATGCGCTCAGCGGCCACGTCCCAGATCTCGGTATGGCCTCGAGACGTGCCAATCGCGAGGTCGCCGGGCGGAAGGTGCAAGAGAGAGGTTGCGGCGACGATGTCGCCTCGAAGCGTCGTGAGCTCCGAGATCGAGTTGGTGCGTGTGTTGTAGAGGTACACGGCGGGCCCGAGCGCGACTGCAAACGTGTCTGAGCTGACCCACGTCAACGCATTGGTGTAGTAGTCGTCGAGCAGGTTGGGTGCGTCGAGGCTCTTCTTTGGGTGGTAGATGACAGGCGACGACGGCAAGGACGCGGATGGATCGCCCAATGCGCGCGGGAGCCGCCAGGGGCTCAAGCCCTTGTTGCGCTTCCGGAACTCGATGATGGGGACCGTGGCGACCGAGTACTCGTCGAGGACGGCCTTCCCCAGCGCTGCATGGAACGGCGTCGTATGGCCCGAGAGGTCATCTTCGAGGTTCAAGGCCGAGATCTCCATGTTGGTCGCTCCTCGGTCCGGGATGAAGCGGTCGTAGACCTTGCGCTTCCGCGTCGTCGCCCGTCCTCCCGTCGGTCGCATCACGCGCCAAAGTCTCCACCGACGGTTTTATTTTCCTGTTTTTTGAAACCGTCGATTGAGAACGACGGTTTATTTGACTTCCAAAAAGAGCGAAAATGCGTTGATTTACGTTGGGCAACCAAGCAAGCGGTGCGTTTAAATATCCAGTGGTCGTCGTCTTAGACCGACGGCGCGGTCGTGACGAGGCGGAACATGGTGTACCGGTTCTGGAAGCTCGACGTGTGGGGATCCACGGGCGCGATTAGTTGGTCTTCGAACATCGACTGGCCAACAAGGATCGCGTCGATCGTCGACGTCGCAATCTTCATCTCGCGCAGCGCCATGACGAGCTCCGCGCCCATGAAGCAGCCGACGTGGCCTTTGTGGAAGAGCAGCTTGTTCTTCTTCTCCAGCACGTGGTGCAAGACGCGCGTCAAGATCGCCAAGCTCTCTTCCGAGATGAGCGCGTGCATCTCGTCGGACGCGTCCGAGAACGCATAAGTCTCCATGGGCGCATCGACGTCCGGGGCGTTGGTGAGCGCGTCGTTCTCGAGCGACAAGGCCGCGTTGTCGTCGTGGAACTCGAGCGCTTTCGAGAAGCGGTAGAACGCATCCGACTTGTTGAGAATCGTGGCCGCGGGGCCATGCACGTCTTCAATGTACCCGAGCTTGAGGAGCACGTTGCCCAGCAAGATGCTTTCGTTCTCGTCGATCGCAAAGCCGTAAAACATGAGCGCGCCGACTGCGTCCGAGCCAAGGAAGCAGTCCTTGATGGGCTTGAGCTTCTGGAAGCGGCGCTTGACCTCGATGATCTTGCGGAGGAAGCGGCCGATCGCCTTGTAAAACTCCTGCGGAAGTCCGTTGTGGAACGCTACCTTAATGTCCTGCATGCGCATCGCGCGCGCCTCCTTGAACGGCGAGAGCGCGTCGAGGTCCAGCGAAGTCGGCAGCTTGTTGTACGGAAACGGGAGTGACGCCTTCGCCTTGACGATTCCACCGCGATCGGAGGAGACGGCGTCGCTGCCATCGTCCGAGTCGAAATCCGACTTGCCACTTCCGCGACTCATGACGAGCGATGGCGACGACGAGAAGCTGCTGCCGTTTGAGGTCGTGCTCGACGTCGAGCTCGTGCGCGAGAGAGGTGGCCGCGGAAGCCCATGCTGCTCAAAGGACGAGGTGCGGGACATAGTAGGGCGGCTGCGCGTCTTGGGCAGCGACGACCGCGACGACGACGACGGGCGCGGCGGCGGGTAGTGCGGGTTCTCTTCAAACGACTCGCGGATCGCCGAGATCTTGGCGACAGCGTTGTTGATGGTGCTCATGAGCGAGTCCATATCCATGGCCGACATCGTGTTGCGGCGGGCTGCGGCGCTGGCGTCGAAGGAGACACGGCGCGTCAAATTCGGTTCAGACTTACCGTGGGGTCGCTCGGCCATGTAAACAGGAGGACGGGGATCGGTCTGTTGCCTGCGTGGCAGAGTCGACGACCGAAAGTATACAAACCCCAAGCTTCGTCACGTTGCACTTTTAAAAAGTCTTCGCCCGTGTTACACACCGGATCTGCGACACTGACTCGCCGGTCGCGTGACACGTCTTTCCCCGCCCAGACGCCGCAAACACAGCTTGGGCGGCAGGAGCTGGCGTGCTACTCGTTTCTCGCTGGTCTTGTCCGTAGCGCGGTAGCCAGGTCCACCGCATCAGACTTGATATAGATGCGTGCAGCGTGGTCGGGTGAGGGTGATCGCAGCAGGCCATGTGATAAAGGCCAGAAAGATACACTGCCCGAACTGCCATGATACTGCCCGGGTGTCACGAGACGCGCCAGGTCGTGCGCGGTGTCACTGGCATCCCTCTCTCTGTCGCTACTTGCACCTGCGATGCGCATGGCCGCATGCAAGCTTTGATCGCATGTCCATGCAACGAACGAGGCCCAAGAGGACCTTATCCGCAGCGACCTCCTACAACCGTGGGTGGCGGGAGCATTGTTTGACTGGCTCGGACAGCGCGCAGCTGCGGGCAGGAAGATCGCAACTTTCATGGACGCAGCGGTCCAGTGACCGAAATAAATCATAAAACGGACCAATCAGCGACACCACGACGCTGTCGAAGGTCCGTGGTTCAAAATATAAAAACCAAGAGCCACGGTGCATACAACGTTCAAGGTGTATCATCAATTTCAGAATAAAAAGACGCCGGCGACCGCGATCCGGCCAACTGGATACGGAATGGACGCGACAGCGACGCAAGCGGCGCGGCTGGCGACGGCCGCAAGGGACCGCTGGCTCAACAAGGACGAGATCGCGTTCCTCCTGCTCCATGCTAAGGCCTGCCAGGCTGCGATTCCCGTCTACCTGAGCCCGCAGCAGCAGCCGCCAAGTACGACGGATGCGACCGATACCCGCCATCGCTGACGATTGCTCTAGGCGGATCCCTTTTCTACTGCGCTGCCGCTATGGACTACAAGAAGGATGGTTGGACGTGGCAGAAGAAGAAAGGGAGCGAAACCATGGTCCGCGAAGACCGCGCCAAGCTCGTCGTGAACCGCGAGCTCGTCGTCCTCGGTGCGTACGCGCACTCGGCCGACGCCACGTCGTTCCATCGACGCAGCTACGTGCTGCGCGTTGGCGACCCGCGCTACATGCTTGTGCACTACCTCGACGACGCCAAGAGCAAGCCACGCAGTCCCAAGCCCGCGCCCACACCGCCCCTCGACGACGATTGCAGCACGACCTTTATGGACGACGTCGACCTTCTCGGAGACATGGACCTGTCAAACGACCCACATGCGATGCAAGATGTGTACGACAACCTTGCATCGTACGCACCATCGTCGCCCAAGGTCGCTTGCTCTCGCGTCTTGATGTCGCATGCACTCATGTAACGGTGGACTAGATGCTGCCGCTCCCTGCGCTCTCCGTCGTGCCCGAGACCAAGGCACCGCTCCAGATCACCGACTACTCGCCCAACTGGGACTTTACCTCGGGCGGCGCCAAGCTCCTCATTTGCACCTCTGAGACGCTGCCGCAATCGACGCCCTTTTTCGTGCAATTTGGAGCCATCGCGACGGTTCTTGCCGAAAGCATTGCGTCCACGGTGCTTCGCTGCACAGGTAACAACGATGCACATAAGTATTGAGCTCAAGAGGTCGTAGCACCCATGACCCTCGAGGGTGGCCGCGTTCCGCTGAGAATCGTCACGTACCGCAACGGCGCGGTCGTGCCCATGTCGAGTCCGCGCGAGTTCGAGTACCGCGGCAGCACGTTCGCGCAGGTGCTCCAGGACACGGACATGCTGAGCGACGACACGACTGAGACCAAGTCGACGTTCAGTGAGCCGCACAGCATGAAGCGTGCGCGGTCTCCAGTTGACGACGCGGACGTGATGAGTGCATACTCAGACACACGATCCGTGAGCAGTCCTCCGGCCGTCTTTACGCACCAGCCATTTGCCCTTGACCAATACGACCGTACGTCCCTCCGCCGCTGCTACCTCGCTCGTAGTCTCATGCATTTTGCTAGCGCACGAGCGACAGTACAAGATCCGCGTCGTCGAACGCCTCTCGGAGTTTCGGCGCGTGATATCGTCCAAGCCGACGCTGCAGCCGACAGGTACGAGTTTGCAGCACCGTCTTCCTGCCTCATGCGTGTATGTGTGGGCAATTAGCTCACGTTGTCGAGGTACACCGAGCGCGTTTGATGGTCCACGTCTGAGCAACCGTGTTGGGTGTAGGAATCCTCGCCAGTGCTCCTCGACGACTCGGCAGTGGCAGCGCTCAGCGATAAAGAGCTCGGGTCGCTCTCCGACACGCTCATCGAAGACGTCGTCAAGCAGCTCGTGGCCGTCGCCGGCACATCTGCCGACCTTCTCGAGGAGGTACTCGAGTCTTTACCTCGGTTGTCGTTGCACCATGTTGTTTCTAGCTCAATTCGCTCGACGATGCTGGTCTGAGTCTGCTTCACTATGTGAGCTTCTACAACTGCGCGCCGCTGGTCCCGCTCTTGCTCGCCCACGGTGCGCTCGTGGACCAGCGCAGCGCGCAAGGTCAGACCCCGCTGCATCTCGCGGCCGGTTGCGGCCACCTCGGCGTCGTCAAGGTGCTTCTCGCGCACAACGCGGACGTGACGATGTTTGACTTTGACTGCCTCACGCCCGCGGACCGGTAGTGGACATGTGGAGTGTGCGGTATCCCAACACTGTGCTTAGGGCAGAGAACTGTGGCCACGACGAAGTGGCTGCGTACCTCCACAGCATCCTCGAGCCGTCGCCGCCCAAAGCGACCGCAAACCTCTCGTTTTCGGAGCTCAAGTCGTTTGGGCTGTTTCACGATCAAGACTCGAGCGACCAGCACAACCGCAAGCTGCTCCTCGGCGCCTTCTCGACCATGAGTCTCCACGGTACTCCAGCGTTATGGGTCGAATGGTGCGTCACGTCCGTCTGTTGTAGACAAGTGCGCGCTCTCGCTGGGCACCAAGCGCCGTAGCAACAGCCTCGGTGACTACGACGAGCACGACTCGGACCACGACAAAATAGAGGTCAGCAGCGTCATGGACGACTCGGACGTGACCAAGCTCGAGGCGGCCATGCAGCTCATGGGCCCGGACGGTTGGACGCAGCTCGTAGGCGTCGCTCACCGTGGCGTAGAGCTAGCGCTGCTCGAGGAAGAGGCGCGTGTGATCCAGTCCAACGTGCGGGCGTGGCTCTTGCGGCGCAGCTACAAGCACATGCGCGAGACGACGCAAAAGCTCCAAGAAGGTTTGTTCGTCATGTCTCGAATTTGGTCGAATGTATTGCCTAGTCGCCAAAGAGGGTCTCGCCAAGCAAAAGATGGAGCGGGCGGCCGTGACCGTGCAAGCAGCGACGCGGAGCATGCTCGTGCGCAAGAGCTACCTCCAGCAGCGCAACACGGCGATCAAAGTCCAGGCGGGTACGTCGCGGCCCTCGAATCCGCGGACACAACGTGAATTGTAGCGGCGCGGGGCATCCTCTGCCGCAAGAACTTTGCCAACATGAAGAAGAGCGCGCTCGCATCGCTCGTGATTCAAAAGAACGTGCGTGAGTGGCTCGCCAAGCCCGAGCCCAAGAGCGGCGGATGAGCGACGTCTGCCCGTGTCCTGTACCATATCGTAGTGTCGTCTATCTATTAGTAGTATGTTATAAATCGCAAGCCAGCAATCGCCATGGGCTCGATTCGATTTAGTCGTCGCGGAAGCGCTTGAAGCCCGGGATCGGCGGCGTCCACGTCGGGAAGCCACGGGTCATGGGCACGAGCGAAAAGTCCTCGACGAGCGCCTCTGCTCTCAACTCGGCCGTCGGGAGCGCGTTGATGGCCTCCCACTTCAAGCTGATCTTGAGCTGCAGGTCCTTCATGAGCGCGTTGTGGCGGATCGACGTCATCGAGTTGTACTTGCGGCCAATCTCAAAGTGCTCCTGCTTCTCGGCCTCAGTCCACTCCGGCCTGTACAGTGCAGGATGAGCATACACGTGACACATTGCATGGGCTGACGTACGGCGGGATGTCGCGGCCCTTGAGGGCACGGAGCATGACGTCGTACTTGCCCGAGTCGGTGCCCTTGTCGTTCTTCTTGGCCGTGGCCTTGAACTTGGCCGACTTGGCGCCACGCTTCTCCGTGGCGGCGCTGCCCTTCTTGGTCGCGAAGGACCGCGCTTGCATCACACACCGGCGCATCATGCTGCTCGTGCTGGTCTTCCCGAGTCTTTTCGCCACTGGCCAACCAACCTGTCCTGCGCAGCGTATCCGTATCCGAATTATCCGGATTCGGAACCTCGGCTACCTGAAATAGTGTCAAATTGACTCGACGATGAAATGCACAGTCACCGCGTCCGCTGCGATCGCTAGTTCACCAAAGGATACGAGAAAAAGAGCAAGGTCAAAGAACACTGTTCCTTCTTGCTGGTACCAGTACCTGGCAGACGTCATTGAGACTCTGAGAAGCAGGTTGCGCGTAACCGAAACGCATCGAGGTGGTTACATCATCGTCCTACAGACAAATTGTGCATGTTCGCAACGCATATCGCATTGAGTTTAAGCTTTGGATACATAGTGAGACTAGTGCGGTAGGGTCACGTGGTGTCGAAGTCGGTGGCTAATCACACTCTTTGTTCATGGACTCTCGGAGGGTTCCGACGCATGGCCATTGGTATTATATATAGCGAATATCGCGACCTCGATCGCTTGCAGCTGAATGCTCGGGTTGACAGCGCGTCTCTAAGGGTCGATTCACAGTAACTTTAATGGGATCTCATCACTCAAGTGCGCCTGCCGATCCAGAGTGTCGCCGATCAAGTATACACTATTCACGTCGTACACTATTGTAGTGAAACACGTTGATGATTGGCTCGCTTGAATTACACTGCAATGATGATGCTCCAACGACTCTCGGCGCGGTCGGCGCTGCTGCTGCAGCCTCGTAGCCTGCGCTTCCACACGTTGGGCCTTGATGAGAGCCTCGTTTCGGCCCTTGCCGCCCAAGGCATTGCGACGCCCAGCCAAGTCCAGCGCGAGGTAGACCACATAGGCTCCTTCACAAAATAGTGCATGGCAGCGTAGGCGGTGCCCATGGTGCTCGACCCGGCGCGTCCTGACGTCGTCATTGGCGCCGAAACCGGCAGTGGCAAGACGCTGACGTACGTGCTGCCGCTTCTGCAGCGGCTTCGGGCGTACCCGCACCCGATGACGGCGATTCGCAAGCCTATCGCAGTCATCATGGTACCCAACCAAGAACTCGTCAAGCAGATCGAGCGCGTCGTGCAGAGCTTGGACCCCGAGGTGCCGCTGGCGTGCTTGACAAAGACGCACGCGATTCCGCGCCGGACGCCCGTGCTTGTCGGCACGCCCAAGGCCATCTTGCAGGTTCGTCGCGGATGGTAGCAGCTATGGCAAACACGAAATTAGCACGCGTCGGCCAAGGACTTGGTGTCGGTAGAAATGATCGTCGTCGACGAAGCTGATATGCTTCTCGGCGGTGGCTTTGAGCGCGATACGAAGCAAGTGCTTGGCGTCATCCGCAACCAAGCGCTCGTGGACCCGGCCTCGAACGAGTACATCCCAGGATTCCACCGCGACAACGATAGCACCGAGCCCGTGGGGCTGGCATCGTACCCGCGCCAAACGATTTTTGCTGCGATATCCTTTTCCACGCCACTGGCATATACATCCTTGATGACGACTGGCCAGACCTTACTACAGACGACGATCTCTGTACGCCACCATCCCAACGTATGGCAAATTGGCTGTCAGCGAGTACCTCAAGCGCAAGTTCCCGGACGCCGTCTACGCCATCACTGACGTATGTTGATTCGATATTTCAAAGCCTTGATCTTCGACTCGTAGCAATTCCACCGGACGCTCTCGACACTGGACCAAACGTTTCTGCATCTGAAGTCGAGCGACCGCGCCGAGCGGGAGCAGCGTCTCTTGGAGGTGCGTCGCATGCGGCGCCGCCATCTCACGTCGACTAGATTCTGGCCAACGACAGCGAGTCCAGTGGCAGCGTCCTTATCTTTGTCGACTCGGTCGCGAGTGCAAAGGCTCTCGAAGAGTTCCTTGTCGCCAACGACATTCCCTGCCGCGCGCTGCACAAGGTACACACTCCTTTGCGAACATGCTTTTGAGAGCTTTTAGGAAGTGGCTCGGGACGAGCGCTCCGATGTCTTGGCCGCCATGGCGACGGGGCGTCAGGTCGTCGTGGCGACCGACATTGCTGCCCGCGGTCTCGACACGCGCGATGTACGTTTTCGAAAAGTTGTTATGAGTCGGATGCGACGGCCGTGTCTAGGTCGACCACGTGGTTCAGTTTGAGTTTGCGACCAACGTCGTGACGCATATCCACCGTATTGGCCGCACGGCGCGCGGCGGGACGACTGGCAAAGGTAGCGCGACCTTGGTATGGTGTTTAAGATGCTTTATCGACCTAGTCACCAATTTTATTGGCCGCGAAAACGAGCTTGTGTACAAGGAAATCGAAGCCGCCGGCGCGGATGGCACGCTCACCAAGGGCTTTAGCCGTCGCCGGAGTCTGCGAAAGAAGTTCAAGAAGGCGGCCAACGACCAAGGAATCTAAATCGCCAACGCTAGATAACCTATTTGAATGCAAAAGTCGCCTCTTCAAAAGCTAGCTGCATAGTTGTACGGGAATCACTCCGAGACGTCACCCTCACGAGAATGTATTATATATAACGTTATGCAAAGCTACTACTAGTGCTTGGCACCGACAACACGCTACTGCGTCGGCTTCTTGTCCGCGGGGAACGCCGACAGCGTCTTGTAGTCCCACGGCGCGCGCTTGGGCGGAAACTTGCCGCTGCGCATGTCGTTGAAGCACTCGCGGATCTGCGCTTGTGTGTTCATGACGATCGGGCCGTGCCACGCGATGGGCTCCTTGATCTTCTTGCCCGCAAAGAGCATCGCCGAGACGGCTTTCGAGCGCGCAGTGAGCTCGAACGTCCGCTTGGCCTCGTTGGTCGCGTCGAGGAGCGCGACTTGGTTGATGCGAATTGGCGCCGTGTTGAGAAGCGCGTCGCCCTCGTACACAAAGAGCATGCACGTGTCCATGCCAGCGGGGATGTCGTATGTGAGCGTGCTGCTCGGCGACAGCTCAAAGTCGACCATTTGCACAAACTGCTTGGTCTTGAACTGGCCCGTCCGGCCGTCCGCAAACGGACCAGCGAGCAGGCGCGCTTGGACACCGGGCGATAGCTCGACCTGCGGAATTGTCGCCGGGTCTTCTGTGCCGTACGACGGATCGTCCATCTTGTGTTTGGCCGGGACGTTGAGCCAGATCTGGAAGCCTTCTTCGATCTCGCCAGCATTGTTGGCGCCGCCTTCAGCGTGCTCGATGCCGCTGCCGCAGCTGATCCACTGCATGCCGGGCGCCGCAAACTCTTCGCGGTTGCCCATCGAGTCGCCATGGCGGCCGGTGCCGCGCTTGAGGTACGTCATGATGTCCATGCCGCGGTGCGGGTGCCACCCGATGGGAAAGTCGTCAGCGTGGGCGGCGCGGCCGTCGCTCTCGATGATGAGATGGTCGCACATGAGGAAGGGGTCGCTCTCCTCGGACGGAATCCCCAGCGGAAAGGCCTGCATAACCGAGCGCTCGTCACCAAAAGGCCGGGAAACCCCGGCGTCAACCACGCGGATCGTGCGCATCGCACTGGCCATCATCGGAGTGGCAAAAAGAAAAAGAGGAAAAAAAGGACCGGCAAGAGCCAGAAACATACACAGCAAAAACAACTGCAAACACAAACACACCATGACCCTCGCGTGACAGAAACAAGTGACAACACTGCACGACAAGAAGACCACGGAAGCAGCGGAACAAAAACCAACTCCTAAAGCAAAAGAAAAACCCAAAGATCTCATAGCACACGCAAGCAAGGACCTGAGGAAGCAACCTCGACGAGTCACGCGCCCCCTGGACCAAGCCGCACAAGCCAAGTTGCACAGCACCGAAATGCCATGACAAGCCGCAACGACAGGAGTAGCCGAAGAAAAGAAAACCGAAGGACGCCAACGACTAATGGCCGAGACACCCAACAAAAAAATAACAACAAAACCAAACCGAAGGACGAAGACGCGACAAAACACAGACAGAACCGCACAACTGCCAGAAGAACGAACGACATCCAACGACAAATCAAAAACGGAAATCTTGCTCGTGCGCAACCAAAAGAGCCGACCGCCCAACCGTCCGAGAACACATCCAAACAAAAAACCCAAAACCACTGAACAAAAAACAACAACACCAGAGCATCCGCCCGCAAAAAACTCCAGCACGCCAACTGCAAACCACTTCAAGCAAACCAGTCAACAAGCCGCAACTCGACCAACACCAGCACCCCCACCACAATGCGCACGATCCGCGTCGTTGACGCCAACATTGCCCACCCCTTTGGCGACGACCGCACAGTGATCCAAGCCTTCCCCAGAGCCATCCCGTCCGAAGAGAGCGACCCCTTCCTCATGTGCGACCATCTCATCATCGAGAGCGACGGCCGCGCCGCCCACGCTGACGACTTTCCCATCGGGTGGCACCCGCACCGCGGCATGGACATCATGACGTACCTCAAGCGCGGCACCGGCCGCCATGGCGACTCGATGGGCAACCGCGAAGAGTTTGCGGCGCCCGGCATGCAGTGGATCAGCTGCGGCAGCGGCATCGAGCACGCTGAAGGCGGCGCCAACAATGCTGGCGAGATCGAAGAAGGCTTCCAGATCTGGCTCAACGTCCCGGCCAAACACAAGATGGACGATCCGTCGTACGGCACAGAAGACCCGGCGACAATTCCGCAGGTCGAGCTATCGCCCGGTGTCCAAGCGCGCCTGCTCGCGGGTCCGTTTGCGGACGGCCGGACGGGCCAGTTCAAGACCAAGCAGTTTGTGCAAATGGTCGACTTTGAGCTGTCGCCGAGCAGCACGCTCACATACGACATCCCCGCTGGCATGGACACGTGCATGCTCTTTGTGTACGAGGGCGACGCGCTTCTCAACACGGCGCCAATTCGCATCAACCAAGTCGCGCTCCTCGACGCGACCAACGAGGCCAAGCGGACGTTCGAGCTCACTGCGCGCTCGAAAGCCGTCTCGGCGATGCTCTTTGCGGGCAAGAAGATCAAGGAGCCCATCGCGTGGCACGGCCCGATCGTCATGAACACACAAGCGCAGATCCGCGAGTGCTTCAACGACATGCGCAGCGGCAAGTTTCCGCCCAAGCGCGCGCCGTGGGACTACAAGACGCTGTCGGCGTTCCCCGCAGACAAGAAGCCGACGCAGTAGCGTGTCGTCGGTGACAAGCACGAGTAGTAGATTTGCATAACGTTATATATAATACATTCTCGTGAGGTTATGAGGATGCTGTGGGTAGAGAGAGTTCGTACGATACTACAGTCCAAGTAATCAATTGGAGCCTGGGTAAAATAACATTGACTGGCTTCTGCGGGGCTTTCCCAGAAGCGCCGTACGGTAGGCAAACATGTACTCGTTGGTGTGAAGACACTTACTGTGAGTCAAACTCGAAGCAGCAACGACACAGTCATTTTTGAGCGACTTTGTGTTTTTGGCTTGGAGTTGAACCCAAAGAGAAGAATGGGGGACTAACTAGTACTAGAACGTTCTTGATAACTTTTACACTCACTGCGCGATTACTTCTTGTGTTGCACGATGACTTCAACAAAGTACCGGTGCCAGCGCGTGTCACTCGTGAGCTCGGGATGGAACGCGGTGACGAGGATGTTGTCCTATCAAATAATGTGAGCTTCCACACGACAAGATGCTTTTACCGCACCTTGCGGGCCGCCACGATGACGTCGGTCGGGTCCGAGCCGTCGGCCGGCGACGCGTTTTTGATCTGCGACAGGATTTCGATTTCTTCGCCGACAGAGACGATGGCCGGTGCGCGGATGAAGACGGCGTTGTACGGCGTCGCCTCGTCGTAGCCGGGCGGGCCGCGGATGTGCTGCTCAAAGCTGCGGATTTGCGCACCGAAAAAGTTGCGCGAGACTTCGACGTCGAGGCCGCCGATGAGAGCTTGACCGCCCTAATGTTAATTCAAGAATGAGCTTTCTTCCTGATCTTGGGTCTGTTTCCGAACCTGCTTGGCATGGCGCGCCGACTGCGCAAGCAAGATCATACCGGCGCACGTGCCCCAGATCGGCTTCTTGTCGTGGACCCATTGCTTGAGCGGCTCAATCTACAAAAATGGTTTCAGCGGCTGGGCAGGGCATCGAAAGTCTAATGTACCATGCCCCAACGCTCGGCGACCTTGGCAATGGCCGTGGATTCGCCGCCGGGAAAGACGAGCGCATCAAGGCCTTCAAGCTCCGACGGGAGGCGGACTTGGACAGCGTCGGCGCCGACAGCCTTGAGCATGTCGACGTGCTCTTCGAAAGCGCCTTGCAGCGCGAGGACACCGATCTTGACCATCGCTGACGAGTGAAGTTGGAAAATGGGCAGCGTGGAGGATGCGCCCTCATTTGTGGGCCCGGCCCAGTGCAAACTCACGTTTCATTGGCTCGCTTCGGGCACATCGCGTTGCATCGCAACAAAGTAGCCAATCAGAGCCGACGTCGATTGCTGTGCGGCCCAGGTCATGACGCAATCCGTCGATCAGTGTTCGACGGACGTCGTCCCGGATGGTCCTGCTGCTGCTAGTGCCCTGCATTGAAGGTCACCATTGCTGGTCATTTTGACGAAAGGGCTACCTCTAGTAGACTATTGCAATCTTGCTCAAGGCCCAGTGTTCAAGAATCGTATCGGAGCTTTGTACGCTCATGAACGCAGCGACAGACAATACTTGCGCCGGTCCTGGCTTTGCGCTTCAAGTCGACAAGTGGCACCACCATGGTATTCTGTGCAGCTGCAACATCTGCTCACATCTCGGCCATTCTTGCCGACAGCTACGTTCCATGGCATTCCACCGAGTCATCCCGTTGGCGGCAGGGGCTCGGTGGCTATCGATGACAAGCTACCGTAGTCCCTCGTCCCAGCGCCGGCTTTGCGCGCAATAGCCAAAGCACACACAACAACAAGCTCGCGCGATTGGGTGGACCACCCAAAGAAGAGATTCGTTATAGCATCATAATGTCCATCCTCTCCACGCGTGAAGCATCGTTCGATTAAACCCGCCAACACGAGCTGTCGCCCAACGGCTGCACCCGTTTGAAACCACTACTGCCGGAGTGCGCTATGTAGCGCCATACAAAACCCATAGCAAAATGAGCGCTCTTAGTCCTCATTCGACGGTGTGAACGTTCGGCCAGCGCAGTTGCCGACGAGGAGCACCCATGATGACCGTCAATCAAATTCTACTTTGCGTGAGGGCATGATTTGCTCGCAGCTATGCTTTGCGGGAGGTGCGTAGGCTTTCTACTTATAAAGCGCCACCGTACTTGAAACCGTCGTCGAATAGCAGCGGCTTCGAACTGCCTAGACAGCATTCATGTCCTCAATTTCCTTGCATCGCCAACAATCCTCCCGCTCGTATCGGATCGCGTGGCTCTCCAACAGCGCCCGCACCAACAGCGTTGTACAGGCAAAGGAGGACAAAACGCGCCTCGTTCAAGGTATAGGCACATCTTCTCGCCAACCTCACGTCCTACATCTCAGTCTCCTTTTTGTTGTCGACAAGCTACATCGCGATTTATTACACCCCCTCTCACAGTCGTGTCTTCTTATTTTGACGGGGTGTGCCCCCAACTCGTGCTCACGGCCTGAATGGAGCGTGCTAGCTTCGCTTGCGGCGTGGGTCGCAACTGGAAACCAGCTCGTACACCTCCTCCAAGTGTCACCTTCGTCGACGCTGTACATGTACGTCATGACGTGCACAACCGGCTGCGAGAACGAAGCGTCAGCCTCCCTGCAGCTGCTCGTGGGCTACGACAACTACCCACAATGCACCCCGGTGCCTGGTGGCCGCCCACCGCCGGTATGGTGCTCGTCAAAGGCGCCACTGTCGAGAAAGTCTACCCTCAAGGCGCATATCTTTTGACTGTACTTGCGGACGCGTCCATAAACCAAACCACCATGTTCGTCGACGGCGATAGCTTTGCAGCCAGTGTCGTTAACAACATTGCGCGCGTCCTCATCGGCGTGGAAGGGTGCGCGCAGGCGTATCCGCATGGATCCAACGCGATACTCCACTCGACGCCACTTGGTGCACTGTGCAATTCAAGTGTCGTGCACGGCGCAGATTGTGCACGTGATCAGTGCCATGCAAGAGGTAGCGGGCTGGAACTATGGACTCTATTCCACGATTGCCGTCGTCATGGGTAAAGTGTGTCGGCACAGCGTCGCCAATGCGTTGGAGATCTAGGTGCTGCATTCGCTTTTGGTCACCGTAATGCACGTTGGATGCCCGGCGGACATTCTCATGACTCTCCAAGGTGTACGTGGCGTCCTGCAGCAAAAACCGATTCTCATACACAATTTAATATCGAGTTTGGAACGTCGTCGCGAACTACTCGGCGTTGGCGTGGCCACCGCGTACCGGTACAGTAGTATACATACGAGATATATCCATCGATTCATCTATGCATCTCTAGTAAATATTTCCATCTATCCTTCTATCCTTGGTACACCTCATGGATACACATTGCCTTTGACAGCGCAAGGTTTGATGGGACGAGGTGGACAGGGTCAGCGCACTGCTTCACCTGATGAACAGCACATCGAGTACTTCATGGCAACACTCGCCATGGGATGTTCTGTTGAACCAAAATGCGCACATGATCATCACAATAACGTTGTATCACGACAGAGTTGTATCACGACAGAGTTTAGAGCTTGCTGGTGCCGGCTTTGCCCGCCATGAACTGCTTGACCGCAGCCTCGACGAGATACCCGCTCTCAAAACGGGCGTCAATGTCCACGTATTCGCGCTCGATCGCAGCAAGGACTTTGGCCTTTTCAATGCCCTTGCCTTCCTTTACGAGCCGCTTGAACACAAGGAGGCTCTCGTCCGCGCATGGCTGATCGACCATGGCAGCCACCTCGTCAACGACCTTGTCCAAGAATCCGGTCACGGGAAAGAGCTCGGTCACGAGGCCTCCTGCATGCGCTCGCGCCGCCTCCACCCGCTTGGAGCGCAGAAGCATGTCGTTGGCCAGCATCGGGCCCTACGCCAGTTGCCCTCGTTAGTAAGACACGTTGGACTAAGCCGCGTACGAGAATCTTTGGGAACAAGTAGCTCGAGCCAAACTCGGGCACGATCCCGACACGCATGAACGGCGTCCAGAAAGTGGCTGTCTCGACGGCAAACACAACGTCGCAGTGCGTGAGGAGCGTGACGCCGATGCCAACGGCATGGCCGTTCACGGCGGCGACGAGGATTTTCGGACACTCGATGAGGCGGTTCATGAAGCGGCGTGTGGCGCTGCGCGATGGAACTTCTGTCGGCATCGACGTGAGGTCCATGCCGCTCGTAAAGTAGTCTCCGGCGCCTGTGAGGACGATCGCGAGCACGTGCGGGTGCGCCTCGTAGTAGCCGATGAGTGCATCGAGCTCGGCGTACACAGCCTCGTTGATGGCGTTCTTGACCTTGGGCCGGCGGAGCTCGATGACCGCGATCGACTCGTCGCTCGGCCGCGCGAACCACGTCGCCGTAAACTTGGTCGTGGGTGCCATGCCGCCAATTGCGATCTTCGGCTTGCGTATGCTGGCGACAGGACGGC